GAGGACCCCGTTGTGGCCCGAGTGAATCGGCGCATGCAGCACATCACAGGGTTAACAGTACAGACTGCAGAATTACTGCAGGTACGAGGGCCTGCGACTGCAGGAGTTGGGAAGGGGGTCTGTCTGCCTAGGTGGGCCCCCAGGGAGGAAGGCCAGCTCATGAGCTGCACAACTGCACAGTGCTGTGGATAGGGGACGATCTGGTCTTGGGGAACCAAGATAAACCAGTGCCTGCCACGTTCAACAGCCTAGTGCCCTACACATCAGTTAAGCATCTGCTGCATGCCCAGCTGTGCGAGGAGCTACCCAGAGTTGTTCCAGGGACATTTCTAAGAGGGCTAAAAATACCTCCAGGGGAAAAACAAAAACAACCCTCCAGGGGTTAAGGTTCTGGCCAAAATCGAATGCGCCTGAGATACAGCCACGTGTTCCGTTGCGGGAGGCCCAGTGGCCTGGGCCAGCTGTCTGGGGAAGGTGGATGCTCTTCTGTGAGCGCCCTGCTGGACCCTGGCTCCCTGCTTTTGGTTCAGAGGTGACTGTGGGGAAGCGTGTGGTGCCGCAGTGAGGGGAAGCTTTGGGGAGCTCCGTCACGGTACGTCCCAGTGCCGGCTGTGCTGTCCTGAGCATCAGGACTCTGGTTCTTGGTAAAATCAATGTCCTGAGATACCATCGGAGAAGTTTCACGGGTGTCTTTCTAGGGTTCTCTCGCTCTGTGGGTCAAATTTTCTGAACATTTAGAGATAGCAGCTGTCACCTTTAGACTTGGCCCTTGGGTCTGAGCAGCCATAGATCTCACCAGCATATTAGCTAATGATAATTCGGAATCGTTGCTGACCTTTTCCTGCCTGCGCTCATCCGAGCAAACCGCACACATTCTTCTTCTTCAGGTAACAGAATCAGCAACCAGAAAATCCACCTGGAAGGCCCTTGTTAGGAAGCCTACTAGTTTTCAAAAACATGCTGACTGCCGTGAAAACAGTGCTAGGAGCATTTAAAATAATTGTTTAGCTCAGCGTAGCCCGTTGGCCTGTAATTTCTAAATCGTTCTGCATCGCTAGAAGCCTGGGCTGTACCTCCCATGCCTCACCACTGCCCCGTCCCTGTCAGCACTGCCTTGAGTCCTATCTTCTTGGAACCATTTTTTTTTTCACATTTTTAATATTAAAGTTTTAGCTGTCATAAGACATCAGCCTCTGGTTCTTCCGTCCACACCCCAGCTGGTGTTGGGGGCTGTCCTGGCCCCAGCAGGGGCAGCAGTTGGCATGGCTGACAGTGTCCCATGGTGACATGGGGATGAGTAGGCAGCACAGACCAACCTGCTCTCATTGTGTGTCCCCCGGGTCACCCCAGCCTCAGAAGACAGCAGCTGCTGGCCGTTGACTGGCTTCTCTGCCCCGACCTTGGCACCCTCCTATGGGCCTCTCCATGGGTGGGGCCTGGGGGCACCCATTCTTTGGGGCTGGGCTCCAACAGTCCTGGCTCTGGCTGATAGCTTGCCTGTCACTGCCAGGTGGCTGAGGCCCTGCTTCATGTCATTTGTCCCCCAGGGATGGCCTGGGCATTTCCTTCACCAGCCAGTAGTGCTGC